GGGTCTAATTTGCCAAACATATTAAACTTATCTCTACCAAAGACAAAATAATTGTACTGGAAGTAATTCATCTACCACCCCACTAAGTGGGACCTGGGGAGAAAATAAGTCAATGTGAGCTAAGATGCTGTCTTCTTCCCTGACACCTTGCTCACACTCACTTATATGTGTATACAGTAGCTAATAGCCTTGGGGAATAAGAGGCAGCAAAAATATACTCCTGCTCAGGAAGAGAGGTGCTGGGGATAAGAAGATCTGTGTCCTGGCATTGCACAGTTTTTTATCAAACCTGTTCAAATAATACTTAAGTTGTTTTTCCTGCTTCTTCATGGAACAGGAAAAATGAGGACTGGAGAACTGAGAGTTGGATAAGGACTAAACCATCTTTGCCCACACAACTAATTAACTGTCCTACTTTTCTTTTTATGACTGCTGTGAAGAGATCTTATTTTGGTTGAAATGAGTTAGCTGAAAAAACTTAAAATGGATTGTTTGTATTTTCATTATCAACATATTACATTAAAAAATCCCTCATCATTTCTGAAGAAGCATGAATAAAATAGAACTTTGCAATCTTGTTGAGTAAGAATGAATAAAACAGAAGCATGAATAAAATAGAACTTTGCAATCTCTAACCAAGAGAGGTGAGATGGAGGATTGCATTTCATTTCTCTGTTAGTTTTCACATTATTATTATTATTATTACTACTATTTTTTTTTACTAAAACAGATCATTGCACCCCAAAGGATGATAAGCAGACCAGCATCCTCAATAATATTTGACATTTTATTAAAAATGCAAATTCTCAAATTCACCCAGACCTGCTGAATCAGTCTGTGGAAGTCCATCTTAGGAGTCTGCATTTCAACAACCTTTCAGGGTGATGTTTAAGTATACTAAGGTTCAAAAAACATAGCTTTGGAAAATGAGAGTGGGCAATAGAAGAAAAACAAGGGGGCATAAAGTGAGCAAGTTTTGTGATTCCTCCTACTGAAGTTCAAAGAAAATTATTCAGAAATTAAATGAAGTTTCTTTTGGTATTTGGAGGAGAAACTGTATTGTTGCAAAGCAACTTTACAGAGATAAAGAATGGTCAATCCCAGAATGACATTTCTACAAAGTGGAGGATTGGGTGTGTTGGGGGAGCTTACATACATTATATTGCAGGTTGCCAAATTCTAATATAAATGAATACCAATGTTCTAGAAAGGTTTTGTGCTACCAACATTACTGTCCTCCTTTGGTATGAATATTCAGAAATATCCCCCAAATTGCTGCATCTGTGACCCAAGATACTATTTCTATGTACACTTATGATATAGGCTAATTTGCTTCACAAGTTTTTCTGAGCACACTCAGCCTGCAAGTTTCGCTTAACGTTTTCAGACAAAGCAACTGTCATTCCAAGAAGGAGGTTTTATTTATATATTTAAGTGTAATATCTTCCTGTAAATGGTAGATTTCTACTCAGTAATTAATGACTAAAAGAGTAATGGAACCTGGAAATAGAGTTGTAGAAATAGTGAGCTATTGCCCTGAGAAAGTGAGTAAGAATGTCCCCAAGAAACCAAAAAGTTAACAGAGGCTAAACCAGCTATAATATTTGCTTGCTAAATAATAGTATCCAGGAAATTATTGGAAAAAAGAAATGAAAAATATCACAACAAAACTAGAGAAAACTACTACCATCCTACATTTTACTCCTCAGAGTCTGAAGGTGTACAATGACAGTGAGGTAAAAAAGATTATTATTTGGCAAATTTGACCAATTTAAAAATTGAAACCCTTAATTATCTTCCCTGTAGTTATTCTATTTCCCAACTACTAGTGTTTATAAAAATAAAATTTCCATCCCTAAAATTTCTTATGATGACAATAGAAAAATCTTATTCTTGGTTATGATGTTTGTAAAAATCTTTAGGTTATCCATTTACCCTTAAAGAAAAATCCTAATACTGATGTGTAAATATTTTTATTGTCTACCTTTAGTAGACATTACAGCAGCTTCTAATTAAGTCCAGATGATTAATTATTATTTTCACTGCTTATCTAGACAAAGATGTAAGGGTATTATATCTCCTTCCTGACTACAGAGGGTCTCCTTGCACACTTGATTAATTTGTTTTGCTTTCAGATTAAGTGAAGCATAAAAATAAATAGCAGTTTTGCCCAGGTATCTGAAGAAATATTCAAGTAGAAAAAACTTATTGTTCTAAAAGGAACATTTGTTGAGGCTTTGTTATTGATGAAAAGAGGAAAAATGCCTTAGTAAATGTTTTGGTAATTTGAAAGTTTTCTCCGTTAATATTGTCTATGTGCAATTGTGCACTTATAAAATGATTGGAATTGAGAATATTAAGGTCCTACTTACAAAAATGATACAGTGACCATAGAAGAAATCAAGGAGGATTAGGATCTCATTTATAGATCAAGTCTACTGTGGAAAACTTAGAAAAACTGTTGTCTTACTAAAATAATATTACTGCACATGAAAAAGTTAGATAAATATAAACAAACTCTTTTGATAAAACATTTTATATTCTCTATAGTGAAATGCATTTTTGAAGTTAGAAGTCATATAAAGCTTTTGAGAGACAATGTAATTTGTGTTTATATAGAAGTATCAGATCAGGATGTATTCAAAGGCCTAATGTATATACCTGCATGTGTGTGCATATGTGTTCATGTATGTGTATATATAAATATATATTTGTCCCTGTGAAGCAGTAATTTGTTAATTATTTACCTGATTCAAGAATTTATTTTAATTATGTAACTACATACTTGTAAATAATTTGTTGTTCCTTTCATATATTATCCAAAAGAGTAAAATGAAAATGTTAATAATACTCCAAAATGTATGATGTAATATAAAAGGTATTTTTAATTTTATGTGATTATTTTTCAACTTGCCTTAAATCACAAAAGCCAACAAATAAACTAAGGCAATACAGTACAGTATTTTTCTTGTAAACAGATTTGTAAAATGTTTTCCAAACAGCAGGTGGCAATCTTGGTAAATTCGATTGCACCAGAACCATCTTACCTAGATACATACAGATGAAAGACAGTTTTAAAAGACCTGTTAAGAACTGTAGTATGCTAAGACTGGTTAAGATAACTTCAAATACTACATGAGTATTGTTTAATCATGCTTTATTGTCTAATGAAATTTGTCCCTAGGTGAACTTAAAGTTTTTGTTGAATGCTTCTTTATTTCCAGGCAGCATGGGAGTCATTTCACAGTGCTAAACTGTGTAGGTATCCTTCACATCAAAATGCTGCATGCTGTTTACTTCTTATCATTCTGAATTCATAAGGCTTTAGAATTAAAAAAAAAAACACTGATCTTAATCCCAAAGAAAACCTACTGACAAATTGCTGCTCTTTTTTTTTCTTTTTTTTTATTGTTGGTTGTTCAAAACATTACATCTTTCTTGATATATCATATTTCACAGTTTGATTCAGAAGGGTTATGAACTCCCATTTTTCCCCGTATACAGATTGCTGAATAACATCAGTTACATTTCCATTGATTTACATATTGCCATTCTAGCGTCTGATGTATTCTGCTCTCTATCCTATCCTCTACTATCCCCCCTCCCCTCCCCTCCCCTCCCCTCTTCTCAAATTGCTGCTCTTAAAGTTTAGTTCCTGTTAGTATTCTTGGTGTTGAATTGTGAGAAATGTTTAGAAGTCTAATTATGAAGAAAAGAAAGTTTTGACCCCTAGATATCTCTGAGAGTACTGTGGTTTTTATAAACAGATGCAGTCATGTTCGATAGAGACAGAAATTCATAGGTTTCTGAACTGAAGAGATCTGCAACTAGTTGTACTCACTATATTTTCAGTATCTGTATAGCAGGGGAGACAGATAGCTTCCCCACAGGGACTGGCTACCAATAGAATAAGAGATTCAGATTCTCTAAGTTCAGCCTTTTCCTGTATACCTCACTGTGAAGCACTGTCAAATTTTAAAATTTCATCATATCACATTTTAAGTGTGCTTATAATAATTTTGCTGATGGCATCATCCTATAAATTATATTTACTGAGTTTTCAATATGCCAATAATATTTTATTGAATGAACATGTGATTTGGAAGAAATCTCTCTCTCTCTCTCGATCTCTTTTTGCAAGGTGGCACTGAGGATTTAACCCAGAAGCACTCAACCACTGAGCCACAACCCCAGCACTTTTTATCTTTAATTTTGAGACAGGGTCTCCTTAAACTGCTGAGGCTGCTTTGAACTTGCAATTCTCCTGCCTTAGACTCCTGAGCCACTGGGATTATAGACATGCACCACTATGCCTGGCAGAAATCTTTCTTTATGTAATCTTTAAAAACATATGCTTTATAATCTGGAAAAGTTCTGACCTTCATCCTTTTCTGTGCTTATATGGAAAAATATTCTAATGTAGTAGCACTTCAACTCTTTCACTGGTAATTTAGACTTTATGCTTTCATTTTAGAATATTTTTCTCATAGGAATTTCTTTGTACAGTGGAAATTGGAGAAAGGGGTAGTCACAGAGATGATCAATGGCATCCATCAAAATGAGGTTTATCAGCAATAGCACATAAAATGTCTGAATTTCAACATCATCTCTTTAGCTTCTCACTGAACTATTTAACATATCTTCTTATTTCTGGTATATAAACTATAAGGCAACTTGCTTTGTGTTCTCAGTAAAGGAACATTTCATAAAATGGTAGAAAGATATAAACTAATTTAAATCATGGTCTTCCATATGGGTACATTTTTATTACCGTATTTTTCAATGTCATTTTGCAACAAATCACTTAAAACCAATAAAATTATTCTATGACACCTCTGGAGGGATTTCCCATATAACAGAGAAAATGTAAATTGCCAGGTTATCATTAGCAGTCTTTAAACTGAGGAAGTACTGTCCTTGACTAATGGCATTATTTTCAATCTTTTGTAAATTTCAGGTTGCAAACTGTTTCCATTGGGATCATTTCTGTTCATTCTTACCAGGGCATCGCTGTTCACTGCATCGTCTCACTTCTTCGCCTGTTCCTTCACATTGCTGTCCTGTGATTGCTGCACCCTGACAAGTCCTTATTCTTCTTTCCCAACCTCCATCACAGGATTTAGAACATCCACTCCAATGGCCCCACTGATTCCACTGACCGTTGGCTAAAAGAAATGTGTCAAGGTCAATGTCAGTGCTCTACCACACACTGATTTAGGAATCTGCATATCTCAGAACATTCCAGTCCCTTGAATTTTTATTAATCTCCACCATGAATAAACTAGTCAAATATTTGACTTACTGGCCAAATACAGTTGATTGTAATTAGCAAATGATTATATTAGTGTGTCTGACTTTTGGTGTCTGAGGAGTTAGACACACTTACTTGTAAAAGTGTCAGTTCAGTGCTAAACTTTGTTAAATTACTTGGTATTCAATCTCCTGAATTTGTCACTTTACTAACATGGTATTTAGTAGAATAAACTCTGATATACTGGCTTCATTTATTAGGAATATAAAAATATCATTCCATGATTGTCTGGCATGGCTCTGTCAGGTTTTATTTTATTCACTTACTTATTTTATTTTTCATGGTGATGTGGATTACGCTTGGGGCCTCACCTACGTTAGGCAAATATTCTAACACCAAGCTATAGTCCCCCCGCCTGGTTCTATGAATGGCAGGCATTCATTAGATGCAGGACTTACTTACCTGTACACTCAGGGTTATAGCACTCTCTGCTTTCTGCCCATGGCCCTCTGCATTCAGAGCCCCCATGAGCAGCTGCAGTGCACTGCCGGCTTCTCTGCTGGGTCCCATTTGAGCATGTCACTGAGCACTGGCTCCATGAACTCCACTCCTGCCACTGTCCATCAACTATCAAAGCAGAAAGAGAGACATTGTGAGGAGATCTCCCTATTGGGAAGTCTGTACAGAAAGCACACAGTAAAACTAACCTGAACAATGAATCCCCACCAGTGAATTCTCAGGGAATGCAATGGAAGGTCACACTAACATAAGATTTCACTATTACCCCCAAAACTATTATTACTTTTTCACTTATATTTTCTTTTATGTATCCCCAGTATCTCTTTTTAAAAATTTCAAAAAATTTGCTCTGATTAATTGTACATGACACTAGAATACATGTATGCACTTTGATATATCATACATAAATGGAGTATAATTTTTCATTTTTCTGATTTTACATGTTGTAGAATCACATTGGTCATGCAGTCATATATGCACATAAGGTAATAATTTCTGATTCATTCTACTATCCTTCTTATCTCCATATCCCCTCCCCTCCCTTTACGCCCCTGTACCTACCTAAAGTAACTCTGTTCTTTCCACCCACCCTCCCCTTATTGTGAATTAGCATCTTCATATCAGAGAAAAGATTTGGCCTTGGGTTTTTTGAGATTGGCTTATTTTGCTTACCATAATATTCTCCAGCTCCAACTATTTACCGGCACTAGTATCTCTTTTGATTCACTTATTTCTTCAAAACTATTGATCACTCAAAAATACAAGGTGTTGAGCCCGAACTTAGAGTATCAAAGGTGAAAAATAAATAAATACTAACCAATGCATCAAGAGCTCATATTTTAGAGAGGAATCTCTTAAAAATAAACCATTAAATGCCTACTAAATAAATCACTGATAATAGTTTGTTGCAAAGCTTGATTTTAGAGCACTATGAGAGAAGGACTAGGAAGTTTTCCTTGACAAACTGAGGTTTCAGGCAAGCCCTGAAGAACAGTGAGAAAATACTTCGGCGGCATGGTTTCTCTACAAAAGGATACACAAACGTCTGAGGCAGCAGAAATATGGGCACTTGCAGGAACTGGAATGAGGCCATAGTGAACAGAATCTAGAGAGCCAGGTAAAGAGACGTGGTAGAGGACAATGGTAAAAGAGCAGAGGCCAAATTCTGCAGGACTCTTGTCAGCTGTGTTATGAGTCTGGGTTGTTATAATCAGATTAATAAGAAGCCATTGAAGGATGGCATTGATCTAGTGCAGCGTGGAGAAAAAGTTACCTGATAAATAAGGGAGGGTCTGAGGCAGTAATGAAGGAATGTTTGGAGGAAATCAGAAAGCTGCTAGGGAGGAGAGGTGAGAGGAATACCTGAAGGACTGGCCTTGAAAGCAAAAACAAAGAAAGCATCCAAGTCACTTCCAGATATCTGTATCTGATCCTTAGGATCTAATATGGACTGTTAAACTTGACTAGTCTTATCAGACACTGTGATAGGTGTTAATGAGGGAAAGAGGAAGAAAAGCAAATAAATCTCAACCTCAAAATTTTTGTAATTTAATACACTATGCATGTACATAAACAAATAAAAGGTCAAAGGCAAAAACATCTTAACAGGCACATGAAGGATTTAGGCTTTCACAGGATGGATCACATCTGTTTAGGGAGTAATTATATTAGGCTTAGAATAGTGAGATTTGAATAATTTAGAGAAAGGAGAGAGCACTGACAAAGGCAAATGCCACAAAATAAAAGAGGAAAAAGTAGTCAACAACAAAAAATATTTACTAGGTTAAAATAACTTAATTAGCATACATGTTATAATGCACTCACATGTGACTACTTTTCCCCTATCATTCCAGGGTTCTTAGTCAATTTGATTGTAAGTGAAAGAGAATTCACCATAAATCCAAAGTTTTGAGAGAAGCCAATGTTGTTGTGAACATCCAAGCAAATGAGAAAGTCTGGCAGAATATGAGTCAGTACTTTCAACCTAATTCCAAGCTTTACATGTTGCTATACTTAATAAATCCTTTGTGAGATTAAAAATTACAAAACTCCAATTTGATCATCCCATTCATGTAATTTTAGCATCTCACTTTATTAAAAGTATCTGATATAATCTTATTGGCTATGTAGTACATTTGCAGGACAAAAGAGAAAATTTTAGTGAATCAATACGACATTATAAATTATCCACTTACCTTCTATTTTGGCTTTAAAGATGAGTGCATTTTTTCATTTCAGAATTTGGCTTTTCAAAGATAATACTTATTGAGCTTGCATTATGAACCCTCGCTATTCTAAGCAATCTGAGAAGGGTTTATAAAAATAAGACTTATATCTTGTTCCTTACAATCTGTTTGGCAAAAGAATGCACAAGTATGCACATTTTAGAGGAGGCAAAATGAACAGAGATGAATTTGGTGATGCCAGCCTAATCTAAGTTACTATAAGAAAGAAATGTGTGCTGTCCTTAAATATTCAGATTTGAAGTGACTTTTAAGTATGTTTTAATATGAATAGTTACACACAGCAAAGAAAGGAGGATATGTCTTTCTAGCTATGAAGATGTGGAGTCAGGAATGAGCAAATCAAATGCAGACACTGGAGAGAAGTTGGTAGGGAGTTATAATTCCTTGAGGAATGAGAAAAGACCTTACTAAAAAGAGATTAGAAAGAATGAGAACATCTGTTTTTGAAATGTTGTCCTCATCAGACTTCTTCTGAAGGGTGACTTTGCCTCATCATTAGTAAAAAAGTAAAAATTAAAAAAGCAATTTAAAGACTTTATGTTCATGTATTTACAATATTAGTTGCTCAGTCCTTTCTGACAGTGTACATATTCTATATTTTGGCTTAAGTTCAAAATTGAGTTAATATAGAAACTCAAGGGACATTTGAAGTTAAACACTATCATAAAATTTTTAAAAAAATGCATCCAAGTTGTGAATGGTTTTGTTCATGAAGTCAGTTGCAGGAAAGAAATAACAATGACATCAAAGATGTATCAAGTGGACTCTTTTGCTGTTTTATTTTACACTGAGAACTGGAAGGTCCTTTATTGAACATTAGCTGCACTATTATGAGTGAACTGAATTGACAAAGTATCTTTTTGGACATAGAAAAAAAAACACAAGAGGAGAAAACCCAATATGAAATGTAATGCAAAAGTCCAATATGTGTTTCTTTAATGTGTCAAGTACAAGTTACTGGAAAAATGGAAAATTGAGACATCAGAAAAGAAAGAGACATTATATATACATTATTAAACTCCTTTTAGTACCGTTAGACAGGTTTTATTGTTAAGGTTCTTGCCCATGTCATATCCTAGGAGTTTTCTAAAAATTCATTAATTAAGATGTTTCTTTTAAGGACCTCAGCCCCTGGATGATGGATATAGTAAGGTCATTTTATTAAGTAGAAAAAAATGGAGGGTAGTAAGATTTTAGGGAGGTAGATATTAAGTTCTGTTTTGAACATCTAAAAATTTCCAAGGAGGAAATATGCATTATCTTTCAGAGATAAATATTGAAATATTTGAGAATAAAAAACATTTACCATGTTCCATATCTACAGTTCTTTTTTTTAATTGCCCCTCATGTAGATATTCTAGGACATGAATGAAGAGCTTTTTATTTTATATCATGTTTAACTGGGAAGCCAAAGTGGTGAGGGAGCAGCTCCTTCCACCCTACTCACAGGTTTGGCACATAGCTAATAGAGACAGTCAATGCCCCCGCCTTCTCCTACCCCCGTATACAGTGTCAGTCCTATGTTTTCAGTTGACCCCTCCATATTTCTAAGAGAGGCCTTCCAGGGTAATTGCAAACCTACTACAAATTTGAAAGAAAACAAAAACAAACCTCAAACTATTGTTCTAAAACTGTAATCTTATTGAAAACTGATTCACAACTTGGTATTTTGTCACAGAAAGAGTTCTCTGATATGTCAGTGTTAAACACTCCCCTCCTCCTACTGAAATCTCATAAGCACTAATAAAGATTTACTGACAGTTTAGGCTGTGTCTTCTTGGACCTGGGAGGACTGTGGTGACAAAGACCCACTAAGCTCTGCCCTCACAAACATATACTCTGGGTAGATATGTGAGAGACCAATGATAATCATGTAAATAAATAAATCAACACATAAAAGCCTCAGCTAGAGGTGTTAAGAAGAGAATGTGAGGAGGGTACTGTGATAGGAAAATGCTCTGCCAGTCCTCTCTGAGGAGACAGTACCACAGCTGGGTCTGAATCAAAGTCTTGTGGAAAGCTCTGTCCAAGTACAAAGGTGTAAGGTCCCCAAAATTGTGTGTGCTCCAGAAAATAAAGAAGGTTGAGTCCTGTGGAGATCATGACAAGGAGAAAGAGGCAGGAGATGAGCTCAGATGGTGTGCAGAAGCCAGATCTTCAGGGTTCTCTGGCAATGTGACCAAGGAAGAAGTATAGCTATGATAGGATTTTAGTAGGAAAGTCATAAATTCACATTTTCAAACTTAATTTTTGTCATATCAAAAATGAATTGTATAGGGGCAAGAATGTTTGGAGACACTAAGAAACTACATTATAGTCCAGATAGGGCTAACAGTGGCTTGAATTGTGATAGCAACATTGGGTGTAGAAAGAAATGGATCAATCTGTGAGAGTTAATGGATTTGGAGCCATATATTTGGTGATAAAGTATAGAAGAGTGGAGTCAGGTTGAGAATGCTACTTAATCAAATACATAAAGGGTGGATCCTTTTATTGTGCTGGATTAGACCAGTGGTTTGAGGGGTTATAAAGCCCTGGAAACCAAATTCTATATTTATGATATTTTGTTTGAAATGCCATTTAGATATAATACAGGGATTATTATATTATATTGTTTAAAACTGTGCCTCTACTGTTAAAAAATGTTGTATTTTAAAGACATAGTTATGCACTATTTGAAGTAATTCACTTTGTCTTTAAACATTTGCATAGACTGAAATTGAGAGATGCAATAAGATATTCCATGCAAATGGGATCCAAAAGATACACACACACACACACACACACACACACACACACACACACATTTGATAGCAGAAATTGAACTCAGGAGTGCCTAATCACTGAGCCACATCCCTAGTC